TTTGTTTGGTACAGACCCCAACAACTGTTTTGCATTTTATTGTATTTTTCAGTGAAAAAATTTACATTGTGATTCAAAAACGCCCATTCCAATATGATTTTTTTTTACCATATAGTGCAGCTATGTCCAATTAAATTTAAGAGGGTACAGATGAATTTAAAACTTTTGTCTTCTTTTAAACACTCGTTTTGTCCATTAATTCTAACAATCCATGAAGGAAACTGTTAAATACCCATGCTGAATACTTCACTGCCCATTTCATAACTGGACTACATCCAGGATATGAGATGCATGTTAGAGCAGAGTAAAGGGGGTCTCCAATGCACCCTTTCGCCCTTTAATGCAACATATTTGTTATGAATAATTCAAATGCTGAAAAACTACTTGCACAATAGAGAATGTGTAGGTATAAAATACTGTATATGGAGCACAAATACAATAAATATCACAAAGTGAAGTGAACATGTTTTGATACTCACTCCCATTCCCTGTGGGTGGATGGACAGGGGCCACCGAAGTCAGAAAGGTTGTCCATACTCACTCCCTTTCCCAACCAGGCCCTTTCTGAAGTCTTATAAGTCCCATCCGCGCTGACCTCGTTCGAACACTCTTTTGGAAAAATCTATCGCGGACCAGCTGCCCGCCGCCTCCTCGAATCCTCCAACGAAACGCCAAATCCTGTGAAAACAGACAGAACTGATTGCAACATCCTGAAAGAGGTTTTTTTTTTAAATTCGTGTTAATATAAGGTGGAGCTGCCTTAACAAAAATCCAGGAAGATCCTCCACTCGTCTGTAAAGTCTGTTTTTTTTTAACTTTAAGAACCAAATGCGTTTTGCTGGATAACCATTAATAATACAATGTACAGTGCATTAACAGTTACTATCTGCGTACAGTACTTCATCACTAAAGAAGTGTTTTTGCACAGGAGGAGCTTCCCTGACCTAGAAAAATGTCTGAAGCAGAAACCTCTTTTGATAACCCAGCATAAAAAAAAGAGAGTGTAAAACAGCCACCTTCTTCACAGCCTCTGCATAAGGCAAGCTTAAACAACATGGAGCAGACACCTCTATTAGAAACCAAACTCACAGACTGGAGCCTTGACTAGCTCTAAAGACACAAATAATGCCTGTAGTCAATTACAGATATTAATAAATAGTCTGCATATATTCTACACTTCACTTGTTTTTTTCTTTATGTGGTTAACAGAACATACATCATCTCGGACTGAAATAGTCACAATAACAACGAGTAATTCTTTTCCAGTAGGAAAACTATACACACACTACTTTCCTTTAACCTTGATTAAATTAATTTGTGGTTTTGTGGTCAGGAAATATTTGACATTATGTATCAATTATGTCCAAGTTATTATTACAGTTGGTGGGTAATGTGAATTTAGGCAGCCGTCAGTGTTTTTGTGGGCTTGTCTTTATTCCGCATGTACACAGAGAGAGTGATGCACATAAAAAGCCTCAGGGGAAACTACTAGTTATTGCATTTTTCATCATTTTCAATTAAGATGAGACCCATCGTCAGAGGGGGAATACTTTCATGGAAATTTAAGAGTGGTGTGGTGCTACCCTTTTTAATTAACTACTCAAAACAAAAACCTTGAATGTCCGCATCCTGCACTTTAAACTAACCAGTCTTATACCCTTTTGTAATAATCTAATCCTGGAATGGAGAGATTTCATGAAAGGAATAGGAACAAAATTTCCCATCAACTCCTGTTTCTTTCTTCTCATAGTGTGTGCGAACATACAACTGTATGTAGCTGCTCTTTGAGCACCACGTCACCGCCATGCTGCAGACCACTTGCTCACACTCAACACTGTGTGACTTATAAAAATGTAAATTTGTGGATGGGCGTCAATGGTTGTCTGTCTCTATGTGTCAGCCCTGTGATTGACGGGCAACCTGTCCAGGGTGTATCCCGCCTCTCGCCAAATGTCAGCTGTGATCAGCTCCAGCCCCACCCCCCACTCGCGACCCTGAAGGATATGCGAGAATAGCTAATGGATGGGTGGATGGCGATGACTAAACAGCAATGTCTTGCTGAAAAACCATGTTATATTTTTCCCCATGTAGCTGCTAAGAATGTCAGTCAATGCATATTTTATTATAAAGAATACATTTTTGTCACTAGATTGTTGTAATGGCAAAAACATATGTGTAATATATGTTTACTTCATCTTAAGTCTCAATAAACATTTGCATCATTTCTGAAATCATGTCATATAATATAATGTGATTTAAAATCCTTATATATAAAATTTGAAAACTGAAGAATACCTCTCACATTATACAGTCAATATGAGTTGAAAGGAGACCACTGTTAAGCTATAAGTATATCACTCATGCTTATCACAAGCTCTGTACTGTCAATGCTTTATGTAACTGCTTCACAGTAAAATCCCCCCGATAAACTGCATATTGTGCATATATTGGTTCACATTTTACACACCAAAATCAAATCTGATGAGACATTCCTTCAAAAATCAAAAGCAGCAAGTGTTGATTTTGCCAAAGACAACCACCGGGGGATAGAGCAACCATGTCCTCAATACATTATGTTCATCTAATTTGCAATAGTGACTTACTTTAGCAGGAAGTAGCATTCGATGGACATACAAGTATTTGACTTAAAAAACAGGAGGCCCAGTTTCACATCCCATCTCCTACTGCAAGTCAGCAACTTTGAACCATGAACACAGTCTTTACCTCCTTACAAAAAAAATGTAAATGTGTTATATGCTAACAATAAGCCTGAGCTATCCATATCTTCTATAATCTCACACTCCCTCAATGATGTAATGCTGCCAACCCTTTACCGAGTTCAAAGAAGGTAGGAATTATTTTTCAGTGCAAGCTAATTGAAACACCTTTCAATTAGAGTCTTAATTAATGTAAACAAACCGATATTTACTCCTTTCCTCCCCTGCCCACACGGACGCATGAGAAAATAGGGCAGGAAAAGCAGCAGGGAGAAACCTTGCAAGCAGAGCACAGGACGCTGAACTACAGACGACTGAATCGTTACAGAAAATTCAAGCTATTATTCAATTGGGCTATTACAATTTTAATGTTTCCCAAATTGAGCTTGACATACTTTTCATGTTCAGCAAAAAAAAACATTAGCTGAGGGAAACTAACTAATCCTTAATTAGAAACATAACAGTAGTAGCAGTTATAACCCAACAGTGTTACAGCATGAGTTGTGATATATGCAACATAAGGCTAATCAGTAAATACCAATCAATTAATTTAACCTACTTTTATATTAACTAAAAAATATGCAACTTTAGGTGCAACAATAACCGCTTTATGCAACTTTAACTTTGCCAAGCTGTGTAAAATGACACCTCACATATCAGCCTGCAATGTATTGAGGTTAAACCACACCTTGCAAGGTTAACAGCTAAAAAACACCATAGTCTAGTTACACCCGTGCCATCGGGTATTTAAATCCTTTGACTAGCAACTTGAACTCACGACACTCGAGTCAGTAAACTGAAGTTCAAGTTTGTGACCAAACAGTATGTCAACAGGCTATATAAAGGGAGGTTATGTGAAGGAGGAATAGCCTCCTTATTGCACATAACCTCCCAAAGAGGGACGGTAGAATAACAGCGTTGAAAGAGCGGAGGTTTCATTTTAAAGTTTAATGGAAGAAAAACACCTGAACCTCACACCTCACCCTATAGCTTGGGATAGGACATGATACTGACCATTTGTAAATTTAATTTCACTGTACTCACAAGGTTTCCTGAAGCACTAGCATAATGAAAGTCTGCACCCAGAGATGCTTTCCTAAACACCCAGCAGATTTTAAACCACCACTGAAAACCAATGATTGCTTTAATGAGAAAGCATTGATAAGAAACTGGTTGTATTTGATGCCATCAGTAACTTTACAATGATGATGGCGTGTAGATGGTCGGAGCACAGATGTTGACAGCAGATATTTCCCTGTAGCTCTCAAAGACAAAATACTTGTTTGACATCAGTGATGGGTGTGTCTGACAAGCCTGTCAGCTTCAGCACGTCAGGATTGGAGCTGGAATGGTTTTCTGACGTGATTTATAGATATAAGTAACATTTTTGAAGATGGCATGCACAAACTGTAGCTGTCATTTGATTTTATGTCCATGCTGAGTTTTAAGATCTCACGCACAGTATCGTCACAAGACAAGACAAGAGCTGTGTAATTAGCATGCCATTCATTTCTTCTACAACTCACAAATTAGAAGTAAGACTTGCACAATTACCTTGCATCTAGAAAGACAAATAATTCAACTGGAGAGTTTTTATTAGGGCGAGACTAAATAATGTGTCCATGGTCAGAGATTTTACCATACCGCTGATACTGTGGTAGCCAGCCCTTTAATAACTCTGAGCATATTAGGCTGTTATAAGCAATGCTGCAAATCAAAGAGCAGGACAGCTTTATGGCAATACTGGATTTTTGCATCAGTATGAGGAAGCAGCTGGATTTGTCTGGTGTCCAAGGCGTCCACAAACTGTGAACAGGTTAAATTTAAGACTTTTTAAGACCTTTTCAAGACCATTAATGAATGCGATTTAAGACCTATTTTACGTACATACTGAAAAAGCAAAGCAATATTTAGCTGTAATGACACACAAGTATAAAACAAAGACATCAAAAACACAAACAAATCAGGTGCTGGACCAAACATGAGCAAAAATCTGGGCAATAAAGTCCCCAGACTAGCAGCTCACAGTGAAATAAATACTTATTGTCACTTTATTGTTGTTGACTGTATTTGCCCCTCGATGAATAATTAAAAAGCAATAATTTACGCAGCCGTTAGTTATTATTTATGAAGTACTACCAAAAATATATTCCCTGGCATACCACAATGAATCCAACCATTATGTGCTGCAGAAGAGAGGACTTTATCCACAGCGTTTATCTTGCACATGACTCCAAAATACTATGGTATTGCAGCCAAAGAGCTCACAGTGTTTTTGTTGCTCCTGTGCTGATAGATGAATTTAAGCCACTTGCTAATCCAGCCGTAGAGTCTGGAGCAGTGCCTGCTACTGTCTGCTTGTGTAAAAGTTTACATTGCCTGACCACCTCCACCTGCATCTGGTTTTGAGCCGACAGCTCAAGCTGTCAGGTAAACATTAACTGGGCCTGGAAAAGCTTAGTTTCAGTCAATCTGGAATGGTTTGTTTTAACATGTATGTAGGTCTGGTTGCTTTAGCTTATAATCCAAAATAACATTTGTACAGAATTACCTGGAACTCATTCCATTTCCCCATAAGATAGGTATTATAATTAAACTGACAACCATAACAATATCCAACATCTATGTGATGACAAATGCATCTGCTGGACCTTTGGTTAAATCGACATATTAGTCCATATGTACAGTCTAAAGTGTAAACATAAAAACTGATTCAAAATGCTTGTAAAATCAATTGATGTTCTAATAACATTTTGATCCGTTGCTAAATTTGAAAACAAGTCTCATTTCTGCTGTGAGTGAAGCTTAAGGAAACAGGAAGCACTTGTACTGGTTACACACCTACAAATGAAAACCAGAGGGAAGTCCAATGAGTGCACTCGGTGACCCTTTAACTTCCCCAGTATGTACATGGTAAATGAGTAATTCTGCACACTTCATCCCTGGGTCACACAAAGGAAATCTCTCTCTCTCTCAAAGTAAGCCATGCAAATGCGTGGAGAAGCCCGAAGTGCCTCCTGAGCAAGAAAACAGTGGGGTTAGTCAGAGAAATGTGAACTCCAGTAGACTTAAAGCTGCCAGGTTGGGTAACATCAGCCTGACCTAAGCCCGCTGAGAAATGATTTAATGATTTCTTTTCCTGTGACATTTAACATTTTGCTATCTGACGTGTTTGAGGATAATATGACGAGAATCCCTTCAGTGTATATGAATGTCTTCAGCAGTAATACAACGTTGGGGGGGATAGGTCATTTCAACCTTGTAACCAGGGCACTTGATGACTGAGAGCTGAAAACATGTAAGCAGCGTTCAAGAGCGCTCTGTATACGTAACGTTGCCAATACAGACTCCCTGTACATGACAGCACATACACATCCAGCCTACACTGTCTGCCTCTCGTACAAAACAGTGTTTAAGAAGAAGGGAAAAAAAGCGGTCGACCACCTCTGCTTTCATTTGGAAACAGGCCACTTCTATGAACTTTGACGCTGTGAACAGTGGAGCGGCGCTGTGACAACATTTTGCGCTCGTCTGTCAGGAGTGACGGAAAAAGAAAAAGCTTAAATTAAATCTCACGTACCTTGACAACGAGACTCCAGCAGAAATAAAGATCCACACTGAACTCCAATCAATGTAGTCATGTTTTTATATACAAAAAACAACAACTACAGCGTAGCAGCTGAGCGCAACTACCAGCGTCCGACTGACCAGCCGCTGAAAGCGTTACATTGCATAACAACGCCTTAAGTTAATAACGTGCTCTTATTAATCGCCGGTGCGCCGTCTGCGACTCTGGCAGTCCTAATTTATCACCGACACACGACCAAAATGCCCCAATCCGTGCTATATTCGCCAGTCGCGGGCTGTGTTCGTCTGTTTTCCACGCACTGTACTCCACATCCTCCGCTGGCAGGGGCTTGTAAACAGGACCGAGTGGCTGAGAGAAAGTAGGTCAGCTGGTAGCTCAATACTCGGCTAACCTCGGCAGCATAAGCAGTCGGCTGTGCAACACAACCGAAAGAAACCTGTAGTGGCCGGGAGGGGGAGAGGAGGAGGGGGGGGGGGGGAGTAATCTTTAACACGTGCTTAATGCATAACAGCACCCCACTAAATGTCATTTGGAGCCCTAAAAGACAATATATAAGTGGTGTGTGTGTTTGCAGAGGGGTGTGGATTTGTGAATGGTAGCGTATGAAGTGGAGCCTAATACCACTTGGCCATGGAGGCATGACAAGCAGCCTTTAATCTATCAGGCTGGGCTCACATTTATCCAGAAAGAGAAAAAAAAAGAGAGAAAAGTGTACATTGATTGATCAGGACTGGCCCCTCTGTGTAACTTCACAGTAAGAAGGCAGTTAGAGGAGGTGAGGGTAAATGGTGTCTCCTCCCTGCCAGCAAGACAGAGGAGATTAGCCTGTCTGACCCTGTTTATAAATATATAAAACCCACTCATTTAAGTCTGGAAAAAAGAACCTAGGCCGTACAAAAAAGATGACACTGAAATCCATGAGAAAAACAAGAAGCTGAAGGCTTTTGTTTCTCCCCTCAAGTACTTCCCCACTTCCTATGTTTTGTTTTTTTCCCCCACAACTTCCTGGTTGCCTTTCCCTCAGCTGAAGTCTCAAATGTGGGTCAGTAGTCTGCATGACTAATTTCAAGGGCTCGTAATGGACCGGCTCCAACTGTTTTCGCTTCTGTCAAAGGATCACGCCAATGGCTGCAGATGCACACCTATGTCCAGGTGTTTTAAAACTTTTAAAACGACAAAAACATCTGTAAGTGAGCTTTTAAGACAACCTGTTTACTTAAAGACACTAGTTTCAGATATTAAGGAGGAGGTGAAACGTTAGACGCTGCAACAACAATATCAGTGTTTGATTGTCACAATCATCAGTATGTCAATCATTCCACACTTCATATAACTGTGCAGTCGACAACTATAGACGAGTCCTGAATGTCATTCGGCTGTGATAACTGATTTTCAATAAGTAGAGGTTGGTTTTGGTTGAGGTTGGTTTTGAAACCTGGATGTGATCTTGTGTTTTTGTTGAATAAACAATAAAATCTGAACAGAAGCATTTTTTAGTTTTGGAAAGTTTTTCCTCTGAGCCATGTTGACTTAGTGATGTCTCACAGACTTCTGATAAGAAACGTTTACTTCTGTCAGGGTCTCTGACATTTACACTCAGCCTTAGTGCCGTTCTGTGTGTTAGAAGATACATGTATAGCTCTTACTCCGATGCTGCCATCTCTTACATAACCTGTCATCGTCCTTTCCTTTAAATACTGGATGTTCAGGTTTCGAACAAGAGTTTCCCTAATGATAAACGGTCTTGTGATAAAGGCCAGTTGTCATGTGAGTCAAGACGACAGACAACAGAGCACAACAGAACTGATTGACAATCTTAAGTGAATGTTCCCAATTAGACAAATGGAGCTGCTCATAATGCAGGGGACGAGTGCTGGCTTGTGCTGGTTCTTACAATGGTTTCAGCAAATCATTTTAAAGATTGAAATAGTCTATCCCTTTCAAGCACACGCAATACAAGTTATAAGATGTAATATAACAAAAAATACTGTGTGTATAGTTGAGCTGCACAAGGGACACAAATTCTTCTTGTTGATGTGTTTAATAGCTTTTTCCAACATTGCTTTTAAAAGACAAAATGGTCTGTGGGTACGTGATTTCAAAGTCAAAGCCAACCAGATCTCTGCTTCTGTTTATCTCAATGAGCCTGACAGAGTTGTAGCATGCTATATTTGCAGACCACTTGTCTCGACGGCCATCTTCATGTAATGAATCACACTTTCCCAGACTGCAACTGTTGTAGCAGTCCAGATTGGATGTGCCAGTACCAGTATGATGCCATTCTAACCAGCTTGTGAGACATGGAGCCACAGCAGCACAGCCAGTCTCTTTGGTCCCCCACTGACTTATACCTCCTTCATCAACTGAATGACTGCGTCTTTGTCCACTGGCTCGCCGCTCCTCACTGTGGCTGCTCCACAACAGGTACAGAGTTTTGAGGCATCTCTTGCAAACAGTCTATGACCCAAGTCCTGCACACAACATACATTAAAGTGATGGTGGGTCAAGTAGGATGTCTGCTGAACCTTTAACCACGCAACTAAAATAAAAATATACTATTGATTATGTTTGAACAAAACCATAGTAAATCACATGGGGTACACAATGCTGTGTATTGGTTAAAACCTCTAAGCTGTATTACAGTTTATCTGGTCTTGCTCAGCCTGAACCTCTTCACAGCGCTGGAGAGGAGGTACAGGGGGAAAAAACGCTCTGATTTGTTTGTTACCTCTTAACTTGTGGTTAACTTGTTAACTTGCTCCAGATAGCGGATGGGGAGGAGAACGCGTAAATGAAATACGCTGCAAATGGCAGGCTTATACCCACAGTCTACATCCGGTAAATCTGACTACAGTTTATCCAGACCACACACAGCAGGAGCCACCAGGCACCACTGAGGGCCCCCCCCCACTACATTGGCCACATTCAATTCCCTTTCTGCATGGAGCTCCCACTGTGCGATCACACTGGTTGCTCTGGTTTCTCTCATGTTCGAATGACATAAAGTCAGGTGGCTGGAAGAAAGTAGGGAGGTAGGGCTGCAATTATACATTTGTCAGTAACTATGGTAACTTATAGGTGTTGTGGAAATGTAGCCAATTAGGCTGCAGCACATACAGTGCAGCTGCTTACATATTGCAGCCGACCACCAGTAAACACCAAGTGACCACAAGAAAAAAATTGGAGTAAGACACAAAACAACAAGAATGATGCACTTATTGTTACTGTACCCTACCAAATTAGGAAATTGTTGGCAAAAATCAAACATCAGTTATATGGTAGGGGTGACTTACTCAACCCAGACAAAGACACAATGCTGTCAGCCAGTGTAAACCAAGACTATTCCATTCAATCACCTGAAATGGTGTTGCTGCCCTAGGGAATACACAAAAAGTATGAAATGACTGCCCATGCATGTGTCAGTGCGCCTGCAACAACTGTCTAATGTGTTACTAGTAACACTTTTGCTACTGTCAGCAAGCAGCACTCAGTTGTGTCCATGTTTAGGGCCTCATATGGAAGCTTGCAGAGTTAAATGTTGAGAATAAATAAATAATAGTAAGTGTGAGTTTTTGTATGAGGTATTCTTTGTACCTGCATTTATTTAGATTTGCTAGCTGCCCTGCCGAGTAAATCAGATTTGAAAGCAACCACAGACTTTTCTTTACTTACATTAAAACATACAAGCGAATTCGTATTTTTTGTAATGTAAACCCGTATTTGCGAAGTTTAATGTTTTCATTCACTCCTCCAACATTGCAGTACACTCCCTTGTGTTTTGATAACTAAAAATCCATGTCTAAACGTGGCAATAACAAGATCCAACCAGAACTCACTGCAAAATTGATTGAGCTGTCAAATAGCCAAGTATTCTTACGCTAACAGAACAGTACAGACAGGAAGAACATTATCAGTGAGAAGTCATTCTTAAACGTGTCTCCTTTGACTCTATCTGGAGACAAAATGCAGATTTAAAACTACAGATACAGATTTAAGAATTTTAAAGGTTTACAAGACTGACAAATGTGATAATAATACACTTTAATTCTCACAAGATATTTGATACAGGTAGTAGACCCTCTGTGATTGCTTTAGAAAGGATACTAAAGGTACGAGAAAAGGAAAGCATCTTTTGATTGTGGTTTTTATCTATGCTCGATGCTTAGTCTAAGTCTTGTTAGTGAACAGAAATATCTCATCTTAGATGGAACTGCTGCCATTTGTTGTTGTTATGTTACATATAACATAACAAACAAATAAGTCAACTGATTAGTTAAGACTTAAGAGAGGTTCAAAAAATAAAATCTGTCTCATGTACTCAGTTATATAACTTGCACACTACTCGGTATACAAAGTACAGCATCAAAACAATGATAAGCAAGTGAACAATAGCGAGAGAGATGATATAGACTCATTCTGAACTAAATCGTTGCTATGCCAGCGACCAACAAGTGTGAGACATCTAAGATTCATAAAGATCTCCCACATTTTACTGCATTATTCACCATCCGCCTACATAGAGATTAGTTCTGCTCTTTTATGTAGGTCATGCTATTGGATGATGAGATGACATTTAGTGCTCATAATCAGGCCTCACTACATTATAAATGCTCAGTGTTGGGTGCTTTACATCCTATACCTTTGGCCCCACTGCTTGCCTTTACGTCTGTGACACACTGGATCAGTTTCATAATCACTCAGACATTATGATATATTCCCTGTGGCTACATCTGTGATACCGGTATTGATGATGTCATCGTGTCCCTCTGCTGAAGCACTGACTGTCATTAATTAGACTGTGGCACTGCTGTTCGCTCTGTGTTCCCATGGTAACAATGTGTGGTGTCTACTTTCCCCCAACCAAGACAGATATGTCCATAAAGCCGCCGGTTTCCATTTTCTTCAGGTCTAGAATATTTTTCAGACATACTTACAACATAAAACGATTTGTTAGTCTAATGAATATTAATAAAGTGGCAGGCAACATTTCTCACTGTATGCTTTGATTCCTCATTATAGCAAAACACTGTACACAGCAGTGATACAGGATTTATTGCTGGACCAAATGATGGGTTAAAGAGCTGATTTATTGTTGCAGCTTTGAAGTAATAATTCCCTGTTTATGTTTTGTCTTTATTGGAAAGGACGGCTCAGGATGGACAGGAAAGGGGAAGGGAGAGAGAGAGACAGGATGACACACAGCAAAGGGCCACAGGTCAGATCCGAACCTCTACCAGGTGAGCTACCAACGCACCCCCTGTTTATCTTTTAAAGGTCCAATGTGTAACATTTAGGAGGATGTATTGGCAGAAATGGAATTTAATTCATAGGTATGTTTTCATTAGTGTATAATCACCTGAAAATAAAAATCACTGTGTTTTCGTTACCTTAGAATAAGCACTTTATATCTACAGATGTTGT